TTAAATTATTTTATATGTGTAAAAATTATGTGATGTGTTTTGTTTTTCTAATATGTGTACATGGATTTGAATGAAATGCATATAACTTTCTAGTAAATATACACAGGCTTTAACAGAAGTGCACCATTAATCCAAATCAGTATTAATTTGAAGTTTGCTTCTGTGTCACCTGTTCATTTACTGAAAGCATGGTAAGATCCTAAGTACACTGCATTATAGAAGGTGACTGTTTGTCCTTCTGTCATGAGGGCACAGATAATCCATTTCCTCTTCCATTTGTTAAATGCCATGAGAAAACTAAATAATTTAAAAGAGTATTTCCATCAGTGAATATTAAAGACTGTTCCAGCACAAAATTTATGTGTCTAATAACCTCTTTCCAAATAGAAGCAACTGCTGGACATTACCAAGACGTAGTTTAAAATAAGTATTAGCTCATTGCACTGCCAGCAATTAGCTGAATTAAACAATATCTTATTAAAGAGAATTTTCAGTGTCCAATAGACACAAAACAAGTTTTTGCTGAACAGGATGCATCCTAATGTTCATTGATGTGACAGGTAGATTCCAAAGAGGCAGTCCAGATTCTCACATTGCAAAATGTCCCCACAGGTTTGTGACCCCTTATCTGCATGTTTGGATTAATTAACTTCATTGACAGGGCAAAGCTATTCATGTCTACTCAAAGATGATTTCCACTAACTTAAATGGAACATTCTCCATGGCATACTGTGGAGGTAGAGGATCTGGTGAGTGTTAGATCACCCAGGAACACTATCTATACCATGTTGAATTCCACAATGGAAAGAAGGTAACATAGACATGGAATAAATAAAAATGGAGATAGGATTGCAGTCTTAAAACTGTTTTCTACATTCCTATTTTCAATAAATATGGTGGATGTGTCAGCCTATCCCAACCTACTGCCCTCCAGACCAATGGAGAAAGGCTATTTGGGGTATTCTGTTTATGGACAATGGGAATTGTAATCTTATATGGCTAGAGGACACCAGGCTGAGGAAGGCAGATATAGATGATATTGTGCAGTGTGCTGTCCTCTTTCTTTGGGCACTTACACCTGGAAGATGAATTTTCCATTGGAATCATTACTGGATACTGAAGTGTGCCGGACAGGTGTACCAGATACTGGAGCTGCCAAGTCCAAAATAATACAATCTGGAGCTTATTCTCTATCTCAGATGGATTCCACCTTTCGTGTAGTTACTCACAGTGGTGCCCAGATCTGAGTCCATGAATGGTTTTATGGACCGTAAAGCCTGCCCCACAGTTTGTGCATTTGGTTGTCCAAATTACTTCTGTGCTTCCCTGGTAAGCAGCTTCTTTTTCTGCATGTGGAACTTTTGCTTAAGGGGACATTTTTTTGCCCTGCTTGGGACTGGCTTCTATAAGCCAGAGGGCAGAAGCATAATTACCTAATTTCCTTGCCATTCACATTCAAATCCCTATAATAAAATGATCAATGAATCAGCATAAATTTAGGGTCTAATGTGCATTTTGGTCATACCTTGCAACTCAAATTTTCTGGAAGAATCCACTAGGATCTCACAACAGATAATTCCCTCCCCCCGGCTTTTTAAGAATACCATGAGGGTTAAATGAAAGATGAAGACTTATAGCATAATGAAAGACATTTAAAACTAGTTTTGGGTAAAGGATCCTATAACTTTATCATATGCCATAGTAAAAAGAAAAAAAAATTAGTAAGATAACTAAACTGCTCATCCTAGAGCTAGATCTATTCATAGATGACTAAACATAAAGAAGCTCTTCTTAGTTAAAAATAATAATCTAATTTCCTATGATATCCAAGGTCAATATAGGCCAGAACAAGTGCAAGCAATAATGTAAACTGGCAGTGTAGATTTGAAGGTGCTTAGATATTACAGGGATAAGAGTTTCAGAAATGCTTGAACAGAGAGCACAAAAGAACACAGCACAATCTACGTGGCATAAATTAGGAGCAAACAGAGCAGAACAATTCTGATAAGATTTTTACCAGCTCCCCTTCTCCCCCTCCCTCAGTCTATTTCCCTTTCTAGGCAATCCTGGAACCATTCCCGAGTATGATGTTTTGGGATCTTAGATTTTCATATGTTTCTTTTTAAAAGGCTAATTTTAAATCACTGCCATAAATGTTATTGACCTCACTGAATTTAAAATGAATTGAACAGCACATTTCATTCTCATTAGGAAACTCTGAACAGAAGTCTGATTTGCTAAGGTTTACATGGGGATTGATAAAAATTAGAATGTGTTCTCTGCTTCATTTTGATGATCTAGATCCTGTATAAAACCACTACAAAACAAAACATAATGTTCTTCTAAAATCAGCTCTGGCTGATTTTTTTAATTAGTGCATTCATTTCCTTGTGTTCATTCATTTAATATACAGTAAGGTTATTAGGCTATTATTTTAAGTGATTACACATACGTTTTCTTGTGGCAAACCACACACAGCTATGCTTATGAAAGAAAATTTATTCAAACTTTCTCAAATCCTGTTTTTTCCTTTCTATTTTTTAGACCCCATCCCAAAAAAAAAAAAAAAAAATCCCTAGAAAAGCTTAGCATGGAATGTTTATTTTTGAATGCAGGCTGAGAAACAGAAAATAGCTATTTTTACAGCAAATATCAATAGTAGCAAGCATACACTTGTTTATTTCAGTATCACTTCTGAAAGGGGCAACGGAGCAAGTGCCTAGAAGGATCTGTTGATTTCATTGTGATTATTATTCCAGAGCAAGTGATTTGGTGATATTCAGCTTTCCTAACTTCTATGTTGTCGTGAAACTGATTTTTACAGTTGGAAACTACAAATGAGTAGCTTCTAAAGTATGTTTTAGTGACCTGAGCCTTAAACCAGTGATAGGGAACCTCCAGCCTGCCAGCTTGATGTCACTGGTGGAAGTTTATTCACTGGCCCGCAGGGTCTCCTTGGCTTTCTCCAGGAGAACTTGGAATTCCCACTGTTATGCCTGATCTGAAATAGGAGAATACAATAGGAATGTGGGTGGCAGGGACTCAGCTGGAATAGCAAGCACTCTTTCAAGCACTGGATGTACCTTCTTTCCTGGGCCTCTCCAAGGAATCCTTGTATCCTTAGCAAGGATACAAGCAAAATGGTGCATGCGTGTGTAAAGTAATTATTGTATTAGGCATAGACATTCGCTGGCATGAGGTGGTCCTGCTGGGGACAATTCACTCCTCTACCTGATCTATGTTCTGTAGTCCTTTCTTAAAACTAGCATGCTCAGCATAACTCTGAGGGAGAAGATGTGTCTGATGTGCAGAGGATTCTGTCCCGGCATCACAAGACTGGATTGGGAAAGACTCATGAATATATCCTGGGCAGCAGCTGCAGTAGAACTGCCAAGACTGAGCTGGATGGAGGGGTTGTCTGACAGAGGGCCAGGCCTACGATTAGGCAGAGTGGAACAACAGTTTCAGTTAGCAGAGGCAAGAGCAAGGTGTTGGAGGAGAGACCTGTGTGCCAAGCAGTCTGTTCAACAGTCCCAGAGTTAGCTTGTTGTTATCAGGTGCAATGGGGGATGTTACCCCATCATCAGCTTTGTGGCAGATTTCATCTTCCAGTCCAGTTGGGCTTTTTTATGTGGCCTGGAAAGGAGTGTTCATTGCCTCAAGCCAGCAAAAGTGGGCCAGCCTTGGTCTACTTCTGTTTAAGGCAGGTTCTCATGAATGGGGTCAGATGACACAATAACCCACATTTAAGGGCTGAGGTGGAAATGTGGGTTATTGTGTTGGCTGAACCTGCTAGCATAACAAACACATCACAACCCAACAACGTTACAGGGGTTCTGTTCATAGATGCATGGTTAACAAGTTGTGTCTTGTAAGTGGATCTGGGTTCAGACATGTATTGGTAATAAATCAGGCTTTGAGTGGGGTTACCCTGCAGTCTAAATAAGAGACTTGTCTTTTATATGGTTCTTTCAGGTAATGTATTTGTATTTATTCAGATGTTCCTCTAAGAACCTTTTATTTATGGCTGAAAGGTTTAATAAACATTGCTAAAGGGTAAAGCCTAGCCAGTCATTTGACTTGGGCACCTTTGTGAACACTGACCATTAATTAAACCAATTTAGAAACTATTGAGAAGCATTGTGTCATCTGTAAAATGTGGAACGTAGCTTCAGCACATGGGTAGCCTTGAAGGTACGGTCCTCAACCATCATGTATGAAAGTGAATTATATGATTTTACTAGGACTTCCTTCCAAGTAAACGTGGAACAGGTAACGCACCTGGCATTTCGTACGGATAAAATTGGCAAAACAGCAAAGATGAAACCAAATAGTATGGTTATCTCAAGTAATCGAGGTGTATGTTCGTGAGCGGTGTGCGCGCTACAGCTCAGTTCCAAAACTAGGGCATCTCTGGAGCTAGAATGGCAAGCGCAGTAGCATATTCCGCGACCAACTATTTCTCTTTTAATAGAAGGCTGTAAGAATGGATGCGGTGATTGTCAATATCCTCGCAGGAAAACAGGAATGTGAGCCCATTTCCTGGATTTAATTCCACCCAAGTAAGCAGTTTAAAAGTTTGCCATGCCTCGATGAACTTCAAATACCGCAAGATCCGCCTATGCTCGGCTAATCGTCCGTTTCACGGAACGGCACCCCAGACGGGGTCCTTTCATTGCGCACCACGCAGCCGCGAAGAGCACGCTCCCTCTTCCTCTCCGGTGATTCGGTCGCCTCCCTCTTGCTCGCCCGGGAATGCAGAAAGGCGACCGCCGGCGCTGCTCCGCTCCACTCCGCGCCGCGCCGCGAAACCGTTCGCCGTGCGCTCCCGAGCAGCGTTGCAAAGCGGCCCCTCTCCCCTGGGCGTGATCCGGCCCGCCGGGTTTTCCGAGCAGCCGCCGAGACCAGAGCCTTCGGCGATTGGCGTGTGCGGCTGGCCGCAGCCAATGGGCGGCGGGGAAGGCTTTTCTCATTGTAGCGGGCACCCAGCGCCCGAGTTCCACTAGGGGAGAGGGAGAGCCTGGAAGCGTTCGGGTCGCAGCGCTGGTGCCGAGCCTCCTGGCGCGTCTCCCTGCCGGTGGCGCCGCTGGTTGACACCTCCCGCCCGTGTGTTTCCGCTTAGTATGCGTGGCTCCTGCTTGCCCTGATTTCTCTGGGGACCCGCAAGATCCAAGCCAGGCTTCCGAGCGCCGCGCGTCGGGTTCCGCTCTCGCCTTCAATGTTGACTCTTCGCCCTTCGTAGGAATACCTGGGCTGCTGCATTGCCGGGGTCCTTCTCTTAGCGGGTGAGTCGCAGATCGGCGGTCGGGTGTGCGTGTGTGCAGAGATTCGCCTTCTGCGGTGTGAGGTGGGATCGGGCGGATTCCATGAAATCCCACTTCAAGAGAGGGGGAAGAGGAGCAGGATGGTCCCATCCGTCTCCCCGTAGCATCTCCTGCCGGTTTCCAAAAGTCCCAACCTTGCAATCCTATACATGTCTACGCAGAAGTAAGCCTTGCTGCTTTCAGTGGGACTTACAGGTGCATAGGATCGCGGTCTAAGAGTCGTACTGGTAAGGACCGAGGGGGTGGGGACATAGCAAAATGTACCCTTCTTAACTTCTGCGGAGAGCAACCAATGATCCTTCTGTAGAACATCCTCCGTGGTGACTTTAGTCTGCTCTCGGAATCAAATCACGTCGTATTTATGGAGCTGAATCCCAAGTAAGTGTTTACAAAATTGCTCCGTAAAGGCTGATTCCCTCATTTTACTGGGTTGCGGCTAATGTTAGTCCTACTTCGAGGAGACAAATTGAATGGGACTTCAGTTAGACTAGCATCTGAACCGTTTTTACTGGTGAATTCTGATGTGGTGTGTGTGATGTTTAATGAGTGTGGCATCCCAAGTGCATTATCTTCATATCCTAAGGGATCATAGATTCATAGAATAGTAGGGTTGTAAGGGGCCAAGAAGGCCACTGGATCCAACCCCCTGCTGTTGCAGGTCACCAGTTTACAATCTGCAGTGGCACAGTGAAGTCTCTGTAGACTCTGGAATTAAAGGTCCTATGGGCAGCTTGGAAGGGGCGGTTTACATAGTGTGTATCCTGGCCACACCTGAATGGGGTGCTAGACTCTTGCACCAAAGTCCTGCCCTGCCAGCTCCATTGTCAACATACAGTTGCTTGCTTTGAGCATGGTTAGGACTTTCCTTGGGGTCGGTAAGGAAATTGGGGCACAGGGCTGAATTGTAAGTGGATCGACAAGACTGGGGAATATACATGTTTTGTCTTTTCTTAGCCAAATCTTGGGTAATTTTTTGGAGAGCTCTGGAAAAGCCTTGTGGTGAGCAACCTGTCATTCATAAGCAAAGAACTGGTGTGGGGCTGGTTCTACTCAAAGCTGTAACTTGCCTAAGCAAAGCCTTAGTGTTTAAGTAGCTCTTAGTGTTTAACTTATGCCTCCTGCCTCCTGCCTCCCCAGCTGCACCCCTACATGTGTGAGCACATGTGCACACACACACACTCATTCACAAGAAAAAGGACGAGCAGCCAGAATGGAGCATTGCATGAACAGTATATGAACCTATTTATTAGATTGAGGTCAGGGCTTGTGTATAATTAAAAACCTCTTCACACTTAAAAAAGCTGTGTTTATTTGGGAAGCTTAGGGTAAACGGTTCACCCTGTAATCACAAGAAGGTAATACTGAAAAAGTGCACAGCCTGGGAGGTGGTCATGGCCAAATATCTGGCTTTATTTATTTATTTTTGCTCTCCTAACAAGGAATACTCCATCTGTCTTTCTAGCTAGCCGTGACTATAGATGGGTGTGAGTTTCAGCATATCTCCAGATGTGTGAGCTCAGCTGTTGTCTGTCACTTGGGTGACAACTGGCTCCCCCCTCCATGGCCCCCACCAAGCCCTTTCTTTCTCCATTATCCTCATCCAAACATCGGTTCGACCTCCTCTATGATCATGTGTATACACCCAAGGGAGAAGGCAGATCCATTTGACCATCCCTAAGAGTGTGTGTTGTATTTAAGAGCTTTTGAGGATAGAAAGAAAGCTGAACTCCTGCATTTGAAAATGTACCTTAGTTTTAGGGGGTAGATGCAGCCTAGATCTAGAGAGCCACTTCTGACTTCTGATGAACATTCATCTCTCCTCTCTTTCAAACAACCCTGAGCATTCCCTTGGGGATCGAAAACTTAAACAGCAGCCATTTATCTTGACTGAGTTTTCCCCTGTGTGTGTGTAGTGGGGGGGGGGGGGGAGCAGGGCTAGGAGGCAGTTTTTCCATTTAGTGAGTCTTCAGCATGCCTTCTCTTAAAGTGGATGCCTAGCTTTTGGCCTCAGTCAGAAATCTGTCACTGTTCCCACAGCTGGGGGCACACAGAAAGCAAAATAAAACTCCCCCTTTCCGTACTGTTTTTAAGTACCATCCACTAGGGAACTGAAGCACAGTGGGGGAAGATTTTACAAGCTCCCAGCACAATGTTTATGCAGAGGACGTAAAGTCTAGCCATGCATATTTCCCATATGCTAAAGTTAAAGGGTGACAATAATAAATGGCTGTCGTGTATTCCACGCACACATTCTCTGCTGCCCTGCTAGAGCTTGAGATGTGGCTGAGAATGCTGACCCTCTGTTGTATTTCTTGCAATAACTTGAGCAGCATCTAGCTGGTTTTTCAGGACCATATTCACTTTTTTGACTCTGTTAAAACATTTGGGACCCAACTCATGTGGAAGAATGTTACTGATCTATACGGCTCACTGAAGGAATCATTGAGTCTCTGCAGATGCCTAAGATTAACAGCAGCCACTGCACAAACAGATCTTGCTCTGTTTTGCCAGCAAATGCTGGTAGAAAGTTAAAGCCATCACAGTGTGAGCTTATAAATGTTTGCTTGGAAAGAAGCCCCACTGGGTGAAATTGGGCCTCATGGCCATGTAAGTCATCGGTCACAAATAGATACACCCTCACTTGGGAATAAGTCCTGGTAAACACAGTAACATTTCTGAGTTGACTTTGTATAGGATCTTCCTGCAAGTCACTTTTTCTAGTTTTGGATCTTTGTAGCTGTTTCTTTTGTATTAAAGGACATTGTAGCCAGTCTGCCTTAGTTACCTAGACAAACTTTAACATCAACTGGAGGGCAGGGTAGAGGAAGCAAACTTACAGGCTTAATAGCTGAGCTATTAAGATTGGAGTCAGATGTGGCTAAAAGCAAGGAGAGAGCCTGGATTTCCTTTTTTTATCCTGTACTATAACTAAAGGTAGTTGCATTTTTAAAGTTTTGTTTTGCTACCTTCTATTTTAAAAAGTTATTGTTTGCATAAATAGAGAAAACATCTGCATTACACAATGGGGAATTGTAGTCTTGAGCATTGGCCTAGACATAAAGACATTAAATATCTAGGTTTTCACACACAAATTAATCTTGGTATTCCCTGTTTAAATGGCACAGTTTTGGGGGAAAGAACCTTTTAGGAAACTGGAAAATGATCAAGGCCTTTGGGAGACAGGAGAAAAGCTCCACAAGCCTCGCATTTATTACCTAGCATGACTTTCTGTGGAATGCTGGGCGCTGAAGGACTTTTTCTGTCTAAACATGTATAGGATTGTACTCTAGGTTGTGCATGTAATTAGGAACAGTTATTATAGATCCCCTGTGATACCATTTTGTTAGGTACATTGCTTGTCAGAACTATTTTGTTTTTGCTGCTCAGAAGTGATACGGTTTGCTGAGGTATATCTTGGTAAAATAAAAGCTTCTCGGTTCATTATCTGTTTGGTCTGTCTCCCCCTGTCGTCTTAGAAAATGCATGAATTTATTTTGTGTTGGTTCAGCACACTGGAATTTCTCTTCTTGTTCAGGAAACAGGCTCCTGCAGAAGGCTATTTCTTAGGGTCACTGTTCATCAACTTGCAAGGCCACTTTTGAGGAGCAGTCACCATATGAAGTCAACCAGGGATGGTGGGCAGAAGGGAGACTGCGGATACCCTAGAGTTCAGCTCAAAGCAGCCCCTGGCAGCATGGCCAACGAGCAGGAGTTGCTTCCTTTGGAATGTAGGTTGAAACACATTTTCTAACCTCCAGGCCTGCAGTCCAAGGTCTGCAGCCAATATTACACCATCTCTACCATCAGCCTTTCACTCAATAATAGGGAGTTACCATTCCTATCACAATGGTAGTTTACATGTTCTGTTCCACAGTTTGGATACCCAATGGGTATAGGAGCAGTGGCTATAGGAGGGACTCTGGCCAGCAGTAGCATTGTGTAAGTTGATATTGCAAGATGTACTTGTGTCATGGGCACAAAGTGAAGTTGCTTATAAATGGGTCAGCACCCCATCTTCTAGGTATACAGGTAAGTTTTGCTTGCTTTGAGTTTTTTGCAGGAATAGGGACTGGAAAGAAGAAACGTCAGCTACCTTCCTTTCCCAGCTTGCTGAAGAGTGGTGGGAAGCAGTGTGTTTTACAACTTATAGCACACTGATGTCATGACATTTCTGGCAGCAATATTCAGATAGACTAAATCAGATCACTTTCTGCCTTGCCAGAATGACAGTCTTTCCAGATGGAGTTTCCTTAGTGCTTGGTCTATTGTCAAAGGGTATTTCCAGTTCTTGAGAGAAATTTCCCAAGGGATCTATAATAATTCTTCCTTTGTCTCTATATTGTATTCATGTTTAGACTTCCCTCTAAATGAATTAATCTTCTTGTAAGGCTCTCTCTAAGAACATGGCATGGCAACTCAACGTATATTAATTAAAGCAATTTTTTCATGATCACTTTTCTGCAAAAATAATTTCCACAATATGTATGATAATTAAGACACTGAGAGAGATGCATGAGCCAACACAAACACTTAATATTTCTTTAAAAACATGCACACAACCATCTACAAAACTGATGTCATCTACCTCTTCCTGGAATTATGCCTGAAAGTGATTTGCTTTTTTTCTTCCCCTTTGGAGAAACTACACTGGCTACAAGTCAGTGCAGACTTAAATGCAATTAAGCTCTTTTAAATAATAATAAAAAAGCTGAAATGCAGCTCACTCTGGGTTATGACCATAATCTTGAGTTTTGTAGCATTACTGATTGGCATCTCTGAGAAAACTAGGCAGTTACCCTGTGGCTTATACCCAAAACATTCTTAAGGAATTTCATTGGCTCCAATGTGTTGTGAGGTAAACATGATGATTACAAGGCGCCTCCTCCCCCCACCAAGCTGCTAGGGAGCTGGACTCTCCTCCCCAAAACAAATATTGATGGAATTAACTGCAGGGAGCCCTG